CCCAAACACCATTTGAGCTGGTAATGCCATACCTACCCCTGAAACTCTTTCACTTTAGTATGAAGCAGGGTGAAGCTTGCCTGTTCGTGGAGCTGCAGACAGAAAACCCATCCAGAGTCAGGCCTGGTGTCACATGCCTGGGCTCGGGAGGCTGAGGCAGGAGGAATGCCACAGAGTTTTGAGGCCAGCCTGGGCTGCAGAGTGACAAAGTGAGCTCAAGGCCAGCCTGAACTGCACAGTGAAACCCAGTCTCAAAAAGAAAAAAAAAAAAGAAAAGACAAAACCAACCAACCCCATCCAAAGGCAAGAAGTCATAAAGCGAACTGGAAGCTCAGGTCTGGAGCAGCTGCAGGGCACCGGGAGCTGAGGCTGAGGGCCAGCTCTTGGATCTCAGGTGTTGTAAGGGCTGCCTGGGCCTCCCTGCCTCCTGATAAGAAAGGCAAATGGAAGAGTGCTCCAGAAATGGTTCACAGGGGCTCCCCATGCTTGAAAAACCACAAATGATTGGCAAACTCTTCTGTCGCAGACACCACTCAAACAGCTCATTTCCCCCAGAGCTTGCGCTCCTGCTGTGGCAGAGGCTGCAAGCTGAACACAGTGCAGGAGGGAAGTTCTCCCCGTGCCTCCCCTCTTCCCCTTTTAATATCACTACCATGTCTAGATGGCAATATTAACAAAGAACCTGCAGCAGGGGCCCCTCCCCCAGACCACGGGCCCTTCAGAGTTGATTACAAACTTTTCTCTTTGCTCTTTTCAAGAAGTCTGAGGCCACCAGGCTTTGAATCACTGAGCTCTAAAGCTTTGCAGTTCAGGGATTTTTAAATTCTTTTAGTTTGTTGTTCTCTAATACAGAGAATTGGGGGCTGCTCAGACCCTAACAGTCTCAAAGATTTCTTTTTTCTTTCTTTCTTTCTTTCTTTCTTTCTTTCTTTCTTTCTTTCTTCTTTCTCTTTCTTTCCTTTTGAGACAGTGTCTCCCTGTGTAGTTTAGGCTGCCCTTGAAGTCACTATGTAGTCCAGGCTGGCCTCAAACTTGCAGTGATCCTCCTGCCTCAGCCTCCTGAGTGCTGGGATCACAGATGTGAGCCACCACACTTTTGAGTCTTTTTAGCTCAGGCTGATCCCAAACTCACACTGATTCTCTTGCCTCAGCCTCCCTAGTGTTGGGATTACAAGCATGCATGACCATGCCTGGCTTCAGTTTTATTTTTCTTTTGAGATAGGGTGCTGCATGTAGCTCAGGCTGGCCTTGATCTTTGTCCATTTTTAAATTGTTCTTTACTTTTTTGAGATGCAGAGGTTCTTCATGCCTTGTTGTAAGCCCTGTACTTTGTCAGATATTGCAAACATTTTCTCCCATTCTTTGGGTTCTTTTCAGTGTCCTGATTTTTTTTTTTTTTTTAATTTAATGTATTGAGTACAGGGTCTAAAAGGTCTGCAGGGTCTCACTATATAGATTGGACTCAGTGATTCTCCCGTTTTCAGCCTCCCAAGAGATGGGATTACAGGCATGTGCCACCATACCCAGTCTCAGTAGCTGTCTCAGTGAACCCTGGGGGCAGGGAGGCTGGAGATTGAACCTAGGCCACTGTGCTCTGCCTAAGCAGGAGCTTTAGTCTACTGAGCTGTCTGGCTCGTGTTTGTCCTGATGTTTTTTGATGCATTAAAAATTTAAAAAACTGAAGAGCTGGCCAAAGAACTCAGTGGATTAAAGTGCCCGCAAGCAGGCACAGGGTCAGGGTTTCATTCCTGGGCCTGCTATGCCAGCCCCGCCCCTGCCTCTAGGGCGCAATTCAGACTGGGCATGGCTGCACCCCTGTAATCCCAGCTCTTGGGAGGCTGTAAACAGGTAGATCACTGTGAGTCCAATCTAGTAGTGAGACCTTGAACGCCCTATAGAACATTCCCTAAAAATAAATAAATAAATAAATAAATAAATAAATAAAAATAAAAAACCTGATGTCCCATACCCCCCCCCCACCGTGGTTCCTGTAGTTCTCACTTTGAGGGACATTGATAAAATACAATCTGGAATTCTGAAGCGTTAGAATTTAGCAGGGCTCTCCAGGTTACTTGGGAGAGAATTTTTCTTTCTTCTTTGCCATACAGTGCACTGAATTTCAGACCTTGTGCTTGCCAAGCAGGTGCTTATGACTGCTGAGCTATCTCCCAGGCCCTTGAAGATGTTTTTCTTTCTTTTTTGTAGAACCGGGGATTGAACTCAGACCCTAGCGCTTGCCGTGGAAGTGCTTATTCCACTGAGACATCTCCTCGGCCCCTGAAGATGTTTTTCTTGTTTGGGGTAGCACACTCTGGGTCCTTCTTTAGAGCCTGGGCAAAGCCTGGGGATCTTTGCTATGATTACAGCCCCACCCTCCCCTGAGGTCTACCACAATACAGCAGCTGAGATGACAGTTTGGAAATATCCTTTATTGTAAAAACTCAATGGCCTTTGTCTCTGGGATTTGAAATTTTCATGCCTGCTGGCCGCCAAGAGTCAGGAAGGAGGAGGGGAGGGGAGAGGAAAGCAGCTCTGCCACTGATTAGCAGTGAGTCACCCTGGTTACTTTGGTTTTCTCACATAAAATGGGGTGAACACCTCCTTTTCCCCATCCCAGTTCAAGTACTGTAAAGATGAATTAATCTGTGTTTGTCCAGACACTTTGAGATCTTACATTAAAGGCACTGCTGAAATTCAAGCTATTATTATAATAAGTGATTTAATAGCAGGGTGAGGCCCCTGAAGCAAGGACTAGTAGGGAAGAGGGAGGTTCAGGCTGAGGAGGGGCTGCAGTTTAGAGCTGCGGGGCCCAGATCCAGATTTTTATGCAGAAAGGTGTTATTGTGATTTTTCACAAACTGGTTTGTTTCATCCGACTTCAGCAGAGCTTTATTGAATGCTTCATTCATGAACTCTGCTGTAGAGAGATGATAATTTTCAGAAAATAGGCGATATAAATTAAAACAATTAGAAACAATGGGAGACAAGAAGGCAGAGGAAGTGGTAGTTAAGAGCAGAGATCTTAGCTGGGTACGGTGGCATGCGCCTGTAATCCCAGCACTAGGGAGGTTGAGGCAGGAGGATCTAGACCAGCCTAGGCTGCAAAATGAGCTCTAGACCAGGCTGAACTGCAAAGTGAGACCCTGTCTCAAAAAGACAGACAGACAGACAGACAGACAGACAGACAGACAGACAGACACACACACACACACACACACACACGAGCAGAGCCATTACTTTATTATGACTCTTAGTCCTACCGCCCACTGGGAGGGCTTGTGTAAGTTTCTCCCCTAACTGAAGGTGTTTTTTGTGCGGTAGAGCAACAGGCAGCTTCCCGCTGGGTACTCCAGCGCTGGACTACTCGGACAGATGTTTGTGGAACTCTGCTTTGACTGTTAATGTGACCCTGGCCAAAGTGCACTCTCGCGAACTCAGCATCCCACCGTGGATGGAGAGCTAGGGATACCAAGGTTTTAGGGCCGCACAGGCCGGTGCGCCGGAAGTATCCACCTAGCGGAGGCGGACCCTGGCCGAGAATGTGGATAAAATGCAGCCTAGTTAAATTGGGAGGATTATGGGGAAGCTGGGATTTGAGGTGGGTAAGAGGGGCCTGGTAGTATTCTGGTGATCGGATAAGAAACCGGAAACAACGGGAGGTGGAGGGTGGGCAGGGCGGGCTCCTCCAAGAAGGACAAGGACCGGGTGTCCCTGGTCGGAGCCGGCCGGCTGCGTGCCAGGCAGCCTCACGTCGCCCTCGGCAGTGTCCCGACCGTCGCCTCGGCCGCCCAGGACTGAGCCCTCCTCCCCTAGGAATGTGGGCCCGCAGCCCGCCGCCCCCAGTGCTTCCCTAGCCATCTTTACCCCACCCTCCAGCGGGTCTAGTTTCAAAGTCACCTGAAAGCCATTTCCTCCCTCCCCGCCCCTCCGAGTAAATCACCTGGACCTTGCTTTTGCCTGAACAGCTTTGTGTTGTTTTCAGAACTCTATAAACCGTTTACTATAACACTTCTCTACATCTGCATGTCAAATATACCCACTGGTGCTGTTGTGTCCACATCCTCCACCCAAAACAGAGGTGGGCTCCACTCCTGGCCTGTCTTGGGGAAGCATCTTCCAGGATTTTCCTTAACGCTTTAAGACCAGATTTATGTTAATGTCTGCGTTGAACGTCCCGTCTCCCGCCCTCATCGACCTTTCCAGTTCCCAGGTGACTCTTTCACAGCGCACAAGATCGCGTGGACTCAAAGACAGACGATACTGCCTGGGTGTGGTGGTGCACACCTATAATCCCAGCTCTGGGAGGCTGAAACAGGCGATCTCCAAAACACAAAACGAACAAAACAGACGAGTCTGCGTTTGTTCTCCATCAGCCAGGTTTCTGCTTGTCGTTTTTCCACTAGCAGCCTGGCCGGAGCCCCCACCCCTAAGTTAGGAGCATCTTTATCTCTTATCCATCTCCCAAGTTTGAATTTTATCTGGAGAGGGCTACGAACTACGTAGTTTCGGTGAGGAATTCGAGACACGCATTTCTGACTCACGCCGAGATGCCCTGCCCCGGGTGGGATCTGGACCTTCACATCCAACCCGGATGGATGCCTCGCCGGGGACAGAACCCCTTGCAGGGCCTGCCGCTCCCACCGTGCACAGGGCGGGCTCAGCGGCGCACCGCCCACTCCGGACGCAGTGGTGCCAGGTTGGCGACACCAAGGTGACCCTACCACGTGCGTCCCGGTGCATCCAGGTTGCCGGGAGGAGCTGGCGGCCGGAGGGGCCGACACCACGGGGCCCCACGCGTTCCCCCGCGGGCCTGAATCTGGAGCGTTCCCTGGCCGCCTAGCAGCGCCCCGCAAGTCCCCACCCCTGGCCGGCGGGGCGGCTCAAGGCTGCAGCCTTCCCGCGGCCGAGTCTCCACCCCCTGGAAACATTCCCGGCCCGCCCCGCTCTCGCTCCCGGTCGCCAGCCCAGGCCGCTGCCGGGCCCCGCTCGGCTCCGACTTCCTGGCGCGCAGGGGAGCAGCGCGCAGAACCGCGTCTCCGCGTCCCGGGCGGCTGCAGGGGGCGGGAGCAGCCGGCGGCCGCGTCCCCTTCCGAGAGCGACTTTCAAACTCGCGCCCGCCTCACAGCGCCACCTGGGCAGCCCCGTGCGCCGTGCGCGTCCGGAGCCTCGGAGCGGCGATCGCGCGGTGAGTGTCCCTCGGTTGTCCCTGCGCACCACTGGAGCACAGGCGGCGAAAGGGTGGTGGTGGTGGGGGGAGCGGCCGTGTCTTTCCCCTTCCGGGGTCCGCATTGTCTCCTGTGGGTAAAGGACCCACGGCGAACGAGGTGGCCCAGGGCTGTTGGCTCCTCTCTGGGCGACCGTCCCGGCAGGGGCGAGGGCGTGGGGACTGTTCTGAGAGTTTTCTGCCCATTTTACTTCCACCCCAGAAGTAAAAAGAGGGACCACTCAGGGGGCTCCGCGCGGCTGCGCCCACCCTGGCCTGTTGCGCGCCAGCAGCTGGTTCTGGCCGGCGGCCGTAGCTCCTGGGAAAGCCATCCCAGGTCCCTGGAGCCAGGCGCTGCCTGCCCCTGTTCCGGGTTCAAGCCGTACGGCGCTCACTCTTAAGGAGTCGCGGGTCCCTGTGCAGGCCCAGTCGTAGGTGCCGGAGCCCGGGAGCGCTGAGAGCGCAGAGCCGCTGGCGGCGCGGCCCCGCCGTGCGCGCGCACTCCTGAAATCTGCTTAATTTTTAGACGTTGCTTAGGTAACTACTTTGATTCTTTGGAGCCACTTTCAAAAACAAAGGGAGCGAGAAATGTAATGGTTGGAGGCGGGAGAGGGGGTAGGAACCTAGTGGGATCGTTGTGCTCTGGGTCCCTTGCTGCTCAGCTGGCTTACGAAGGGGCCCTGCGCTGCCCCAAACCGGAGCAGACGACCCGGACGCGTCACCTTTCAGGCTCCCTGGCAGGGGGTCCACTGAGTCTCCCCAGCTGGTCCTCTGCTGCAGCCCCATCACGTGGCCCTTGCTCAAGACATAATAAGCGGGGAAGAGTAACGACGGTCCGGAGAAGGAGGGGAGCTCCCTGCTGAGCGTCCTGCCAGCCCCTCCTCCTCTGCTGAGCTGGAATGTAGTCTCGCACCCCTTAACCGCAACTCCAGCAGAAAAGTTTGAGAGTAAGAGGCCAGAGAAGGTGAATCGTGCTGTGTCCTGACTCTTCTCGGTGCGTCTGAGCACACACCTGTCTAGCCGACCCCATCTTGTTTGCTGTAGATCTTCCTGCCTCTGCCGCCTCTTCCCTAACGACTCTTGGGTCCCTGGGGGTGGGGCTGGGAATTGAGGATACAGGAAACTCCCAGGCCTGTGCTTTTAAGAGCTAGCTGCAGGAGCCGGGGAGATGGCTTAGAGAATAAGTGCTTCCCTGGCAAGCTCAGGGGCCCGAGTTCAATCCCTGGTTGGGGGGCGGGGGATAAAAAAATAAAAAATCGAGCCAGCTGCTTTGGAGCTTTTCCCTTGCCTTGATTAGAAATGCTCTAAGCCCAGTGTAGTGGTTTACGCCTGTAATCACAGCATTTGGGAGGCTGAGGCAGGAGGATCAGTGGGAGTTCAAGGATAGCCTGGACTGCATTGTGAGAGCCTGTCTCAAAACGATTAAAAAGAAAGAAAGAAAGAAAGAAAGAAAGAAAGAAAGAAAGAAAGAAAGCAAGAAAAAAAGTGGCCTAGTAGGGAGAGTGAAAAGAGCGCTGGGCCAAGTCCAGTTTGGGTTTTGGCTTGAGTTTTAGGCCTGATTCTACTGTGTGGGCAAAAACTGATGTGTGCTGGGGCTGGAGGTCCCTCAGATTAGCCCATCCGGTCTACACACAAAGGTACGAAGCTCTGAGGGGCGGTGACTTCCACCTGGGCCCCACCGGCCAAACAGACCTGTGCTCCTAGCTCCTCACCATTCATTGTCTGTTTTTTCAACATGACCTGGCCAGTTCAAACTTTTCCTGACTCCGTTTCTATGTGAAGGGAGTGGGATTAGTTGTCTGACTTTCCTTAAAAATAGGGGCTATGGTAAAAATCAGGTGAAGCCTCACATGGGGTAAGTGTTCCATAAACTATATAAGAAAAAGTAGTCTGCACGGTAATGGGGAGGGTCCCTCAGGGCTTGGCAATCTTCTGGGTATACCCCGAGTGTACCCCGGGGGGATGGGTAGGGAGCCAGTGGTGGAAGTTTACTCCTTGGCCCATAGGAGTTCTGCTCCAGAGTAAACACTGGCCTTACCAAATCCACCCGCTGTCCCAGGGTCATGGTGTTTACAGCAGAGCAGGCCAAAGGGCAGGCCAGGGTGACCAGCACCAGAAGGGTGAGGGTCTGCTGTCCAGTTGTCTGGCTCCCCTGCCACCTCCATCCTGCACTCAGCCTCAGGAAGGCGAAGGCGGTAGCCCGCCATGAATACCAGGCCCAGCAGGCTCTTCTGAAGCTCTTCTCTGTTGTGCTGGGGGTGGGGGATCCTCTGGGTGACAGGGTGTCGCCTGCCTTTGCAGCTGGACTGGGGGCTGCTTTCAGCATCCGCGCGCCCTCCCCCGCTCCAGGCGGCCTTTCTGACCCAGGCCATCACGCTGGGCCCCCCTCTGGTCAGCTGCGTGTCCATCTACAGGCCTTTGTTCCAGAGCTGCAAGTCTCCCTCCCGAAGCCCTCAGGCTGGGGCCCTGGCAGCTGGAAGTCACCACTGCCACCAGGAAGCTCTTTGGGAGCCCCAGGGGACTAGACCTTCATTTCCTCTTCTCAGGCTCATCTGGAGCCCCCAGCTGGCTCCTGGCCATGTTCCATCTTTTCTCAGCTTTCCATTCTTCCCCTTGAATGAATGGATTATCTACTATTCCTCCCTGCACAGGCTCTTGCCTCTCAGCTCTATTTTATGTCCTTTTATTTATTTATTCAACAGTTATTTATTTAGCGCTCACTGTATGAATGCTAGGTACTGGGAACTCAGCAGGGAACAAAATACAGTCTCCAACAATTATTGACTTTGTGAAGCTGACAATAAACATGACAAGAGAACACGAATAAAGAGCTTCTTAGTGATAACCAGAAAAATATGGTAGGGAAGGCAGATGTGAATTGCCAGGGAGGGAAGGAGATGGTGATCCAGGTGGTGTGGCCAGGAAAGTTTCCCTTCGGAAAGGACCTCGAGCTGGTGCCCACAGGAGCTATTTCCCTTCTTTGAAACTCACTTCAGTATGCCACTGAGGCCTTTAGCTGAAAGCTTTGGGGTCAGACACCTGGGTTCAAACCTGGGCCCACAGCCACTGTCAGGGAGCTAAACTTGTTTGAACCTGTGTTTCTCACTATAAAAAGGAGTTAGTCATGCTGCCCACTGTGGATGGCATTGGGAGCGTGAACATTGAAATAGTGCGTGTTCACTGAGCGAGCCTGGCTAGAGAGGGGTACAGAGCTGCTAACTTGATATAAGGGGGGCTCAGATACACAGTTTTGGGTTTTTTTGTTTTTTTTTTTTTCCCATTACCAGGGATTGAACTCAAGACTCTGCGCTTGCCAGACAAGTGCTTATTCTACTGAGCTATCTCCCTGGCCCCTACAGTTAATATTTAAATTAAAAACTTCCCACAGTGTAAAACAACGTAAAAGATACATTGCCATTAATCCCCTTCAAAATGCTGCCCTCACTTTGAGCACAGTGACCCCATCCTTCTTGCGCTTTCTGAAGCTGTGCCGGAAGTTCTCTTTCCTAAGTGTCATGGCTGCTGCTATGGCCGTCCAAAGGAAAGGCAGGGATTGTAGCCTGCCCCGGTGGCCCATGCCTGTCATCCCAGCACTTGGGAGGCCGAGGTGGGAGAATCCTTGAAAATTCCAGATCAGCCAGGGCTACAAGTGAGTTTAAGGCCAGCCTGAACTGCATAGTGAGACCCTGTCTCAAAGAGGCAAAAAATAAAAAGAAATAGCAGCAGCAAAAACTTGACTGTGTTCTCTGCTTTACTGAATTTGGCCTCATGCAACTTCTGTCTCTTTTCTGCAGTAAAAATGACCATGAAACGTCAATGTTTTGAATTTATTCAGGGCCTCCAGGCTGCAGTAACAGAGCTACTAAAAACATTCACAAAAAGGCTTTAAAACTATCCCAGAAAAGGGCTGGTGAGATAGCTCAGTGGACTAAGCTTCTGCTTAGGCATGCACAGGGACCAGGGTTCGATCCTTGGAGCGCTGAGCTGGCCACCAAGACCGGCCATGGTGGCGCATACCTATAATCCCAATGCTGGGGAGGCTGAAAACAGGAGGATCACTGCGAGTCCAGGCTGCATACTGAGACCCTGTACCAAATACATTACAGCAAACAAACAAACAAACAAACAAAACAACTACCTCAGAAAGCCTCAAGGAGGAAGAGTATTTTGAGGGTGATTCATGGTAATGTATCTTTTACTGAAACATTCTAAAAAGACATTTTAAACATTCACTAGTTTTCACTCAGCTCTGTTTCATGCGGGGTGGGGCTCAGGACTCAGGGTGGAAACATTTCCATTTTAAAATGTGAGTGGATCCTTCCTAGCAGCATGCCTTCGGCCTGAGCCTGGACTGCACATGGAGGAAGCAGGACTCCAGCTGTGCGCTGGCCCTTACCCTCTGTGGTGGAGTGGGTGACCTGGGGCAGCCCTGACCTGTCCTTTATTTGGAATTCTCCCTGCTTCCAATCAGTAGGTGAATCACACCCCTCTCCCTGGCCTCTCCCCTTGGCCCCAGAGCCGAGAGGCTGGCTGCCCTCCCTCTCAGCCTTGGGTAGATGAGTTGTGCTGGGGGGTGTGGTGCAGAGCTAGGGCTGAGAGGGAGACAGAGAGAGGGTCACGAGGTGGAGCTGTCCCTGACAGCCCCACAGAGGTAGCAGTTGGATTTTAGGACAGCTGCGAAGCAGTCACACAGACCTTCCAGGTAGGTTCACTGGGGTCCACAATTAATTTTTGAGACAGCTTCTGTGTTAAACAGGCTGACCTTAAAGAGATCTTTCTGCCTTAGCCTTCCAAGTAGCTCAGACTAAAGGTACCTGCTGCTGTACTTTTTTTTGAGACAGGGTCTCACAGTAGCCCAGGCTGGTCTCGAACTCTCAGTCACCCTCCTGCCTCATCGGCCTTGTGAGTGCTGGGGTTCCAGGCTCAAGCAGCAGGATGACAGATACTGTGAAAGCGCAGCTTCTAACCAGCTCATCGGATGG